CCACTGCAACTCCAGTCTGGGTGACAGAGTGAGACTCCAACTCAAAAAAAAAAAAAAGAAGCCCTATCATGAACATTGCACTTGACCTTGATAAGAGTAGCACTAGGTTGAGGGGCTGTATGTGGTTCATGCTGTGGTTCTGAGGCATGCTGGGGAGGTAAGGAGGGAGGAGGGCTCAGGTCTGAGGGTGTCCAGAGGCTTCTAGACACACATTGGCATCTGTCTGAAATGTCCCCGCAATACCAGGCTCTCCACGTTTGTTCATCTACCTGGTGTAGAGCATCCATGTGGCTTCTTCACCTTTGAGAGGCTAGATTCTCTACTTTTACCTAGACAGGTGTATCTAGTGCAGTACTTGCTCATGAGACTTTTACTTGGGATGAAGTGAGATGATGTGGGTCTGGCATGTGTGTTTGCCCTGTGTGCACTGTGTTCAGTTATGAGGCATGGTTCTCCTGATCTGATGTCACCCAGCAGAGTGGTGTCACCTGCACTTAATAATGCATGAGCTACCACAGGTCTACAGTTTGGTGATTTCTCCTTATCTATTTACCACATATGAGCACATTCCCATATTACAAATACATTATAACAGCAACCATCTTTTTTTTTTTTTTTGAGTAGGGATCTTACTCTTGTCACCCAGACTGGCTGAAATGATTATGCATGACTCACCACAGCCTTGATTCTGGGCTCAGACTGTTCTCCCGCTTCAGCCTTACAAGTAGCTGGGACTACACGTGTGCACCATTATGCCTGGCTAACTTTTCTATTTTTTTGTATCTTCAAGGTCTCACCTAGGCTGGCCTCGAGCTCCTGGGCTCAAGCAGTCCTCCTACCTTGGCCTTCCAAAGTGTTGGGATTATAGGCATGAGGTCCCACGCCCAAATGACAGCAGCTATCCTTATCTGACCATATTAAAATATAGTTAGAACAGATTTACAAAGAAGAGAACTATTTTTAAGTAAATCATTATTATTATCCTTTTTTACTTATATACCAGTCACTGCTTTTTTTTGCTCTTGAAATCCATGTATTGACCTAGTCTTTGTTTTCTGTATTCTCAAATTCTGTTTGAGGAGTCCTGACCATCCTCACTTCACAACCTTACCTCTAAGATAAAAAATAACCTCAAAAGCAGTTAGGTGAAGCCAGGCACAGTGGTATGTACCTATAGTCCCAGCTACTTGGGAGACTGAATTGGGAGGATAACTTGAGCTTGCGAGTTTGAGATCTGCATGGGCAACATAGTGAAACCCTGTCTCTTAAAAAGAAAAAATAAAGAACAAAGTGTTTTGTAGGCATGATTTGCAGGGATGGGAGAGGAGGCTATTGAGGATAACATGGCCAGACTCAGGTTTGGTTGGGACCCTTCTGCCATTCTCTATACACAGCTTGCTTCCCAGCTATTGTTTCCTTGAGTCTACTGTTTAAAAGCATCCATTACATTCCACATTGGATTCACCAAGACTTGAATGTCCTGTGACTGACCCTCATGGAAAAGCATTAGAGTTCACAGTCCTCTAAGTTTTAAATGTGAAACATGCTTTTGTCCATAGTTATAAAGTTCAGATTCATCAAACCTCCTTTTATAAGAAGATGTGCATCTTGGGAAAGGAGTTCTTAAAGCAAGATTCCAAGATATCTACCCTTCTTTTTCTTTACTGGTGAGCCATTGAGTTTGGTAGACCTATCAAACTTTAGGTAAGGAACAGAAACCTGAAATGCATCATAAAACTTGTTTTTTTATGTGCCCTAGCTTTGGATTTTTTTGTTTGCTCATTGGGTATAATGACCAGACTCTAAAGATCAGCAGTGTCTGAGAGGCTCCAGTGTTAATTCTGTGGTTCAAACTGTAGTCTTACTTTTGAGTCCTGGGAACAGTTGAGGGAAAGGGATAAACACAGGGACAGAAGTGGGGAGAGGGCAAGCAGTACATTCCCGAGCAGCACTGATGCCGCCAGAAAATGTAGTCTCACTGTTTTCTGCAACAGACCACTCCATAAAGTAATGATGGCATCTGCGTCACTTGAACTACATAGTTGTATTTTAATATTAACACTTTGTCTCTGACCTGTATTCATCTCACTTTTTTAAAATTGTGAAATCGAGATAGGAACAACTGCACAAAGCAAATGTGTAACTTAATGACTTACTAGGAGGCAAGCATCCTGTAGCCAACACCAGGTCACCCAGGAAGAAGTCTCTCTGCCCAGAGTTGTCACTAGCTTATTATTCTCATCACCTAAGAAGACTCTTGGCTGGTCTCGGTGGCTCAGACTGTAATCCCAGCACTTTGGGAGGCCGAGGCAAGTAGATTGCCTGAGCACGTGGGTTCAAGACCCACCCAGGCAAATTGGCGAGACCTTGTCTGTACAATAAATCAAAATTTGGCTGAGGCAGAAGGATTGTCGGAGCCCAGCAGGTCGAGGCTACGATGACCAGGAGCGTGCCACTGCACTCCAATCTGGCGACAGAGTGAGACTCCAACTCAAAAAAAAGAAAAGAAAAGACTCTTAGTCTTGCCTGATTTTTTAATTTGGTTTTTTTTTTAAATACATATTACTCAAAGGTCAACCTCATTTAAAGGAAATGATTAGTTAGGTAAGTTATCTTTCTTGTCTTTTTTTTTCATGAGTTGGAGTCTCACTCTGTCACCCAGACTGGGGTGCGGTGGCACGCTCCCAGCCACCGCAGCCTCGATCTGCTGGGCTCTGGCGATCCTTCCGCTTCAGCCTTCCAAGTAGCCAGAACTATAGGCGCACGCTACCATTCCTGGCTAATTTTTTATTTATTGTAGAGACGAGGTCTCGCCAAGTTGCCCGGGTGGGTCTCGAACCCACGGGCTCAGGCAATCCACTTGCCTCAGCCTCCCAAAGTGCTGGGATTACAGGCTGAGCCACCGAGCCTGGCCTATTTTCTCTCTTAAAAACAGCTTTATTGGACCAGTACAGTGGCTCATGCCTGTACTCTCAATACTTTGGGAGGCCAAGATGGGAGGATTGCTTGAAGCCAGGAATTCAAGACCAGCCTAGGCAACAAATTAAGACCCTATCTTTACCACTCCCCAAAAAATTAGCTGGGTGTGATGATGTGTGCCTGTTGTCCCAGCTGCTTGGGAGGCTGAGGTGGGAGGATCACTTGAGCCAGCAGTTTGAGGCTGCAGTGAGCTATGATCACATTACTGCTCTCCAGCCTGGATGACAGAGTAAGACCCTGTCTTTAAAAATAAATCAATAAAATAAAAACTTTATTGAGCTATAATTCACATATTGAGAACTCACACACTTAAAATGCACAATCCAGTGGCTTTTGGTGTATTACATACAATATTTTTTAAAGTTATGGTAAAGTGTATAGAATATAAAACTTGTGATTTTAACCTTTAAGTATATATGTAATTCAGTAGCATTAGCTACATTCATAATACTTACAGCCATTACCACTATGTACTTCTGAAACTTTTTTATCACCTCAAACAGAAATTCCCCACTCTCCCTTCCTTTTTTTCCCTTGTCTTTTTTTTTTTGAGTTGGAGTCTCACTCTGTCGCCCAGACTGGAGTGCACTGGCCGCTCCCGGCCACCGCAGCCTCGACCTGCTGGGCTCCGGCGATCCTTCCGCCTCAGCCCTCCGAGTAGCCGGAATTACAGGCATGCGCTACCACGCCCGGCTGATTTTTTGATTTATTGTAGAGATGAGGTCTTGCTGCCCAGGCAGGTCTCGAACCCGCGGGCTCAGGCAATCCGCTCACCTTAGCCTCCCAAAGGCGCGAGATTACAGGCTGAGCCACCGAGCCCGGCTTCCCTTATCTTTTGAGGGTCTTTAGTTGGCAGGTTTTTTCCCTGCTCTACACCCTTATTTCCTCTTAAGATTTATCTGTTAAGGATCTAGGCCATTTGTCCTAGAGCTGACTTGGTCTGGGTCTCACATGACATCTTTGTGGAGCAACCTGGCAGGCCCTCATTCCTGTCTTGCCTAAGCATTGGTGGGTAGGATCTGGTGGCTCCAGATGATTCTATTCAGTCCTTGTGGCAGGACTGGGAGGCATGTTTATATCAGGAGACTCATCATGCCTGCTTCTCTGTTGTGGATGTTCATAGCTATGCCTAATATGGGATTCATTTTAAACATTTGACATAAATTAGACTTATAAATAAACTTACTCAAACTGATAGTATTTAATTCTCCCTGCTAAATGTAGCTTTGTTTCATATACACATTACTGATAACATTATAATGAGTATATTTCCCTGGTGCCATCTTATATTTACAAGTTAAATAATTGCTTAAACATTGATTTCATTCAACCCTGTGGATATTCTCTGGGGTGCTCTTAATTTCAGCACAACTTTACTTGCAGTCCAATTATACCACCAAAGATATCTCTAGGACCATCTTCCCCCGAACTGCTGTTCTCTCCCTTAGTTCAAAATAATCTATATTCTGTATCTTAGAAGAGAGAAGTTCTTCTGGTAGGAGTGGGGTGAGGAACACGTGAGAGGATATAACAGCTGGTCTTTAGCATCCAGCTTTCCAGGTGGTATAAGGAG